GCAGCAGAGCAGACCGGGCCTGCCGGAGCTCGATAGCGGCACCGCTCGCCAGGCCTCCCTGGCGGAACCGACCAAGCACAGTCAAGCAGCGCCTAGCCACACACGCCGCCATGGTGCTCCGGGAGCCGTACGTCCAACGTCACACGCAGCAGGCTGACAAGACTTCCGCTACGTGAGTAAGTAATGTGACCTTCCTCCCAGAATCCGCCGCGCTGTGTTCATGGGGAGAGATGGCGAGCGAGTGCAGGGCGACAGAGCTGCTATTGCGGATCCTGCGGAAGCTGAAAGGCAGCCTGTCATCGGATGCCAGGAGCACTGCTGAGGACGTACTGAGTCAGGGGCCCGGGGCTCCGGTACCCTTCAGTGTTGTAAGGGAGCTACACGCTGCTCTGCGGGAGAAAGGTCAGAATCTGAGTTTACCTACTGAGGTTACAGCAGCAATGACACCGGGTAGGAGGCCAGGTTGTGAATGGCACCCGTGGGGGACCCAGGCTGTGAATGACACCATGACATGGTGGGGGGGACCCAGGCTGTGAATGGCACCCGTGGGGGACCCAGGCTGTGAATGACACCATGACATGGTGGGGGGGACCCAGGCTGTGAATGGCACCCGTGGGGGACCCAGGCTGTGAATGACACCATGACATGGTGGGGGGGACCCAGGCTGTGAATGGCACCCGTGGGGGACCCAGGCTGACCCAGGTTGCCCAAGGAAGGAACCTGATTGTGTTCTGAAACGTTGTTCTACACTGTGAAACCTTTTTTTGTCAGGTCAATAAAGAGGACTGACACCCCGGGGAGACACAAGCTATAAATGACACACAAGGGACGGTAAATCAAGGCCCATCAGCACAGTCCCTAAGGGTGGCTGCTTGCTATAGATCACACTTCCACATCAGTATCGCTGTTTGGAATGCCTTATGAATTATTAGTATTAATTATTATTACTATTACTGTCAACATTGATCATTGCTGGTACAATGCATGGCACCAACACCTTGGGGCTGATGTAGAAACCTTCCTACAAGCATAAAGCTGGACAAATGCTGTTTGCACAACATTAGTTTCACTAGATGGCGCTGTTCTCTTTGGCACCCTCTAGTGACAGTATTGCCATGTGAACGGCATTCGCTCAGTTTTTCGCTGGGTGGAATGTTTAAACATTACCCCCTCATGTTCATACCACTTTGATTTTGCCTTTCATTTTATAATGGTGTGGCTTCAAGCTGTCTCTAGGGAAGAAATGCAGCTCAAATACACTGAGCGGCCAGATTATTATGACAGTACTTCTTTGGGCCACGAGATGACTCCACGAGATGACTTCGTTGGGCCGCCTCGTGACTCCACGAGATGTTGAAAGGTGATGCGAGGAATCTGACACTGCACTGTTGCCCTTCTGTTGTCTTGTACCAGTCTTGCCACTCTCCGTTCTGCCCTAACATTGACTAGTCGCTGACGGCCACAATTCGCACGTTCAGACCCAGATTTTCGGCTGACAGTCCAGTCTTTAAACACTTTAACAATGAGCCCCTCTTGAACATTTAATGAATTCTGCTGTTTTGCTGATACTTGCTCCATGGCTCCGAGCGCCAACAATCATCCCACGTTCAAAGGCTGTTAAATCGCGTTGTTTACCATAAGGTGTATGGGCAGCTTTAGAATGCTGTGATCACATTGTGGCCTTATTCTGTCTTGACAATAACAGCACTGACTCTTGAAGAGCAATTCAGTTTTTTTCTTTTCATCTTGTTGATGTATATATCCATCATTTCCCATATGCTTTGCTTTATGCAGAATGGCTACCTGTGACTAAGTCAACTGATTGTTTGCCTCAGCAACCAGCCAGCTTCTCCCTTTTTACCACCAATGTAGGTTTGAAAATGAAACGGGTATTGTGATTTGTTGCTCGGTTAAAAAAAGGAATATTTTACACAATGTGGCTTGAATTTCAGCAGATTACTACTGAATCAGACAAAATCCATGCTGTTGGTAGCCCTATACGTCCTATGTGGCTCGATAAAAGTGTATTGGAGAGATTGCTCCATTGACGCTGTGTGCCATGGAAGGGGGAATCAACTGATTTTCTCTAGTAAAGCCCGCCGGCTGAATGACAGAAAATTGGGCTTCATTTGGCCAGCTTTAGATTCAGTCCTTTTAAATCTGTCGGAAAAAACTGCTTTTCTTATGTTTTCCTAATCAGTTTGTCCTCTTTCAGGCTCATCTGTTTACTTACATGAGCTGCTAGAAGGCAGTGAGATCTATCTGCCTGTAGTGGAACTGCCTGAGCGGGTAAGATTGATTTTCTAAGAATTACACGACTCGGAAGTCACTTTGGTGCTTTAAATATAATGGATAGTTCATATTAGGGATGCACCGATACCGGTTTTTCAGTATCGAATACGAGTACCAATATTTTTTTTTTTATCGGTACTCACCGATACCAGTAGTCCCATTTAAGGAAGCCAGGTGGTGTGTAATGACTCGACACCTGGCTTTCTGATTAGCTGGGCGGTGTGTAAAGACTCGCCACCCTGCTTCCCGTTTAGCACGAAAACCGTCTCCATGCTCCCTTGTCACCAGGTGACGAGGAAGCATGGAGCCGGCTTTCTGGCCAATCAGAAAGCTAAGCAGCAAATCATTACATGCTGCCCAGCTTCTTGATTGGCTGGGAAGCCGGGCAGCATGTAATGACTCGCTGCCTGGCTACCCAAAACCAGAAGTTTGGGTATCGGGCTAGGCATCGGAGCATTTGGCCGGGTATGAGTACTCTGCCAAATACTAGGTATCGGTATTGGTGCATCCCTATTTCATATGTACATAATAAGAGAAGTTGGTTTTTGTAATAACAGTTAACAGGACTTGGTGATATTCCGAATAGATTCACATGAGCTACATACAAAGAAGTATATATAGTAAATATGCTACATAGAGTAGGTTAGACATTGCATCTAAATTGACTCTTTGTGACTATTGCCAGACCAATGAAGAGTTCTTTCCTCCTGCAGATATTGGAATCTTGTCTATCTTGCGTCTGTTTCTCCCAATGTTTGTACTATACACAGTAAATAAAAGAAGGGAGGGGCCCCTGTTTTGGTAAATGCATTGGGGATAGCTGCATGCTTGTGTACATTCCAGTTACTAGTTATTCTTTCAAGACTTTTAGGTTAGAGGTATTCTGATAATGCTGAAACAAGGTGGTCACATAGGAAGGTCACCGTGTTTCTTAAAACATTGCCGTAATGTACTTTTAAACCTTGGGAGAGAACAAAAGAGAAGGGCGCCCACCCTAGTGTAGATTCTTTTATCATGTTTTATTGGTTACTTTTAAACCTTGCTTGAATGGACATTAACTTTATCTGCATATTTGCATGTTTAGAACCCGGTACTTGTGGCACGTCTCGAGAAGATTAAAGCTAAGTTGGCAAATGAGGAATATAAGAGAATCACCAAGAATGTCACCAGCCAGGTACAGTAGTTTTAACTTTTAGTCTGTGTTTTCCTAAAGGCATAATCCAGCTTTTGTAAAAAATAAATAATAATAAAAGGACAAATGTGCATTTATTATTATTTTGCATTTGAGTCTGCAATGCATTGCAACCGTGCTCAGTGGTGAACTATAAGCCTTTAACTTTTTGATTGAGTCTAGATTTATGTTTGTCACAAGCATGTTTTAAATTTCACTTACTGTTGGCTGACTCGCTGCCTCTGCTAGACATCTGTTCCATCAACCATTCCTTAGGGGATATAATACTTTCTTAGATTAGTTTTTAGCTTTTCTCCTGCTAATTTAAGGTCGTGTCCTCCATGTTTTTGATCTTAAGCTGGCCATGCACCGAATGAAAAAATAAAACGGATTCCTCCATCAAAGACATGCCGTTTCTTTTGCAGTCTGATGGCGGCCAGCTCATTGGCTGCCAGCTCTGTTCGTATGAAGATTTCCCCAATCATCTTCCAGGACAGCAACCTGAGAGATGATTGGTTCCACCTTCTACAGGAAACACAATTAGCAAAACAGTTAAAAGCCCCTCCCCTTCCCCTCGTACCTCAGTTTAGATTGTGTTTCCTACCGTCCAGGACCACGTCACGTTTGTTCTTTTTCTTCCTGACCGGTTGGCCTTGAGGTCACGGATCCCCCTCTGTGCGGCTCTGCTGTTGAAGGTGTTTTCCCTCCCTTCTGGCCCTGCTGTAGAGCGGAGGGGTGTTTTTCCCTATGTTGTTTGAAAGGCCAGGATCTGGTTCCTTTCTTCCCTTAAAGGATCCACTCCTGAGGCCCCCAGGCCGGTGGCCCTGTCCTGCTTCCCCCTGCTTGATGTAGGGGAGCTGGTAGTGGGGTTCTGTAGCGGTGTCCGGCATGCTGGAGCGGTGAATCGAGCGGGCAGTGGACTGAGAGGCACTTCCGGTGTGTTCCAAGCCTCGTCTTGGGG